ATGGCGGCTGATGTCACAATTGAAGGCGATGAGTGGACATCAACTCGAGACTCGGATGTATAGGCTGATGGTGCACCAGGGAAAGCCACCAGATGTGAAGGCTTCGCCGTGGCAACGGCCATCAAAGAAAACAACACCACCAGCGAATTCATCGTGGTCTGTGTTAGTTCAGATGATAACGACAAACTGATGCTTTCTTTTGGGCAGTATATCGTTTTTATACCAGTCTCGATACAGCTGAAATAAAAGTCAAGTTCAACAAGTTCTGTTACTCATCGGATCGCAAAAATAAAATACGTATTCGGAAGCCTACACTAACTTGTACGAAATAAACTGAGACAAAACATAAATTAAACTACAATGATCGTATTCTAGACCATTGGCTAAATAGTCAGTAGTCTAGAACACTATGACCTTAATAATTAAGGTATCCACTTCTCATGCCACCAATTTTTGCACAAATAAAAATAAAAACATAATGGGAATTATTGTATTTTTACGTTATTAAATAAGTAACTGGCAATATGCATACAACCGTTTTTTCGGATAGAGCTTGGATCATGGGAAAAAAGTATAGTCATTATTTGACAAATTTACGGCCGAATACTAAAACGAATTATAAACAATTCGCTTCGTAAGCGCCGCTAACAATCTATAAGATGTCAAAATTTTAGTTGAATTTGTAGTTTTGGTGTCCTTATCATTAAACACGCTGTTACATATTTAATTGTCGTTTCAGTATACACTGTCCATAGATATCCGCAAAAGCAGATTCGCTGCAGACAACGAGGCTAACCCTTGATCGATGTAAGAGGATATTTCCCCTTCCCATCTTAGTTTTACCAGAAGAGGGTGGAAAAAGTAAGAGGACTTAAATAGGGGCCTAAAGGGTAATATAATTGCTTTGTAATTACTGTTCTGCAATAAAACTGTAACATTTGTATATTTTTTCTGTTCGAAGTAAAATCAAAGGGAAACATTGTTTTTAACCCGTAAAGTGTAAACACTACTTCCAATATACACATTCGAATCGAATATAACTACTCACTGATTTGTTCAAATGGATAAGCCATTGCTTGCAAATGACAGCTTTTGCTTCGTTTTAACTTGGTTCCGACTTAAACGCGCCTGTTCACGTTAGTGCTAGTTAATTCTATCTCTAATCTCTGATATTTATTGGAATCCTCATTACTGCTAGAAACCAATACGGTCATCGAAAAAATGGCAAAAATCAAATAGGCACAAAATATAATTCTTATAGACTATCCATTCATAGATGTCTCTGTAAATAATAAATAGTGTTATATACAGTTTAAACAAAATTAAATAGTAACCTTTAAAACGTTGTAATACGGAGGAATAGGTGAACTATTGTATGTAACTATTATATATTTTTTCCTAATCAATAACTTATATTCTTATACATGTTACAATTAGGTAATAATAGGGTTTAATTGTTCTTTTTAGTTTTGTTATATGTATAACTAGCTGTTGCTCACGAGTACGCCCCGTGAAATAAAACATAAAAAAGTCTATTTTACTGATAACGAATCTTCTTAATAGTGAATGAATTTTTGAATTCGGTCCAGTAGTTTTAGGTTATTTCAATACAAACAAAAATACAAATCTTTCCTCTGTATAATACTAGTATAGATAGTAAATAATAGTAATATAGAAGTATAGATATAGATTAGAGAGTATACTAACAGTCATAGATTAAAAATAAGCATAAATATATTGTTTTTTGAAAACGTAATTTTGTTACCTACGACTTACTTGAAATTAGACTGATATAAAGTACTTATATCCCCTTTATATCTATGTAACTTTTACATGTAATTTTGATAAGTCTTAGTCAAATGCTTTACATTGTTACTCAATACGTTATTTATCATTTAAATTAAAGAAATTTTAAAACTGAAAACATTTATTTCGAAAAATAATTCATAGTACATTATATAAATGGTCGTTTATCACAGATTACATTATCTACCAAGCGTGGACGCCGTAAGCTTTAGGGAGTACAGCGGAATAGGCGAGAGGAGATGACACCAAGGCGGGTGCAGAGTACGCGGAGTACGCGTAGGGAGAATAGGAGGAGTAGGTCAGAGGAGCGACAGGGGATACAACAGCGCCGTGAGTGACAGGGGAGACTAGCGAGCTGTAGGCCAAAGGCGTTACGGAGCGCTTGCGGAGATGATGGACTCCAGAAAGCGCCTTGGCTTGGTAGTGGGCGAGGCGAGCTGAAACAACCTCAGGTGTATCAAGGGGCACACCGTTTACGGCGTCAAG